TTACAAACTCATCCACCTTGCGTCACGCTTGCATCACCACTTGTTAACGCATCACCCGCTGACATCACGTGGCGTGACGCCGTTTCTCCCAGGTTTCCCTCTTGGGAGGGAACGTTAATTGGCCGAATTTGAACAGAAAGGCCCCAAATGAATATCCCAGAGGTCTTGGCCGTCCGCGCCTCTGGAGCTGAGGAAGGAGGGATGAGAGCGGCGTCGTTTCATTTTGTGCATGACCAGCATTTCCATTTTGGGGGCATTTTCCAAGGATTTGGGGTTTCCCACAATAAATCCGATGGTGATGTGGAAGCAGGCTTCTGTCTGGCTCCCATTCGGATTTTTCCGGCTCTTGCTCTGGTAGAAATAACATGGTGGGGGGGTGGGAAACGCCTGCCTTGCCTGATTAATTCACCAACCGCGGTCGTCCCCGTGGATTTCCGCGTCCCTTGCGAGCCTTTCGCGGCTGCGTCGCGAGGACGGACGGCGAGGTTTTGGCCTTTTCCCTTCCCAGGAATACATCGTCAACAGGAATAAGAAAATCGAGAAGCGACGCCAGGAGCTGACGGAGAAAGAGGGCACAAAACAGAAGCCGGATCCTTTTAAAGGTAAGGATCCGGGCTTCCACGCTCCCTCCGCGTTGGAAAACACAGAAATATTGCAAAATGAGGTGAATGGCGGGGGGGGGAAAAAATCCCAGGAATTGGTGATTTTTGGGGCTGTTGGGTTGACGCAGCCGGATCCTACGTTCATTTTTAACCTTCAAGCGTGGATCTGGCGCGGCACCGAGCCACGGGGAAAGAATCCGCTTGGCCCCGTCTGTCCTGGGAGCCAGGAGCGGAGTTTAGTTAAGCCGCACCTCGGTTATAAAATCTCAGAGGCGGAAAAGCCGAGCCTAAGTAGAGAGGAGGAACGAAGGCAGCGCTGGGGAGAAGGGAGGTGTCGCTTCCGCCCGTGTTTTAAGTGGATTTTTGGAGAGGGAGGCTGGGTTTGGCCGAGGAAAACGGGCGATTGCTTGGTCCCTCGGGCTGGTACCCCCGGTCCGCTCCCTCCTGCGCTTGGGTGCCGCCTCGGTGCGATCCGGTTTAGACCGGGATAACTCCCCTCCCCGCCTCCCAGCAGCATAGGTGGTGGTGATTGAGTGGTGGTGATTGAGTGGTGGTGGTGATTGAGTGGTGGTGGTGAGTGAGTGGTGGTGGTGATTGAGTGGTGGTGGTGAGTGGTGGTGGTGGTGAGTGGTGGTGGTGGTGAGTGGTGAGTG